CACATGGAGCAATATGTCGCCACAAAGAAACTGTAGTTCAAGCAGTGTCAGCTGGCCCCCAGCATCATCTGCTAGGTTCACACGCACAGGGCCCTCCAGAGCACCGTACCCTGTAGTGATGCTCTAGAGAGACACATAAGGGCATTTATTTCTATTCAAACACATGATTATACCTCTCTGCAGGCATTACTGTGCTGGTCACTCTCAAGTCATACTGTTACATGCTTTTTTGTCATCTATTTTAATAGATGACATCTATTGTGATCATATTCCCAAATGCACTGTGGATTCCGTCTCTGAGAGTGCACTGGACTCTGCACGTGTGACTAAATGTACCTACACAGAAAATGTTTTAGCATGTATGATCCATGGTGTGGTCCAGATTCTAAAATCTCATCTTGAAAAAGTCTTGAAAACATAAATTAAACTGCTTAGGCTTTTGGATATAACCAGCCTACAAACACAATAGGTCTTGGCTACCTAAAGAAAAGATAAAGTATTTTCTCAGCTAAAGGAGAAATGTCAGCTAAGTAAGTGAAGACAGACACCCAGGTATCCACCTGCCAGAGACAGTGCATGTAAGTTGAAAGGGAGATCTAAGGTTGTGTAATCAGAAGAGGGCAAAGACTACACTCATTAATGAGATACACCTGAGAGTTACAGGTCTGCATCTCTATGGAAGCCTGATCATCAGTTCCCTCAGGGCTGTCCAGCAGGAAAAGGGCTGCATTCCAGATATTAATAGCTAAGCAAACACTGTTAAGATACTGCTTGGGATTTACATTTTGTATTTTTTTTCCACTGTAAAGAAAGCCAGCTTTTCCAATAAGAATGCCTGTGGAATCAGGACCTGAAGGTTACAACATAAACGCTTTCTAACCTGACAAATGTTAGATCCTAGGAATGATTGCTCGACTCAAGTGTAGGGAGAATTCCTGTAGCTACTTTTCATAGCACTGAAAATATACAGGAAACAGAACTAAAATAAATTCTGATTTACCTTGCCACTCTACTGTATAGCATCTTTTACTAAAGTCTTTTGTGTCATCCAGTCATTAGCTTGATTTCAAGGTTAAAGAATCTGCAGGAATTTCCAAGGTTGTTTGTTTTTTTTTTTTTTTTTTTTTTCAAATTCCTTTGAAATAAATCAAATCAGTTCACAAAATACTGATCCTGTATATTCCTACAATTAGAATTTTCACTAAATTAAACAATAGGAAAAAAATATCACAGCAGCGATACACATTGTTATAAGGACTATGAACTTTTAAAATAATAAATTACAACGATCCTTTAAGCCCAAATGGAAACCAGAGAATGAGTCTCATCTATTTTTATTCATGTTTTCTGTTTTCTCATGATCTTTACACAGGCATTTTTTCTGCTCTTTCTTTTCCCATAACAATAGTGATCCACAGAGCACTAATTAAGGTCTTTACATATGAGAACACACTTGGATTCTCTTGCTGTGATAAACTGAAAAGATCAGTTCCTAGTCCCTATGTTAATGAGGTAAGAGCTTTTCAACTTTTTAAATTATTATTTTATTCTCATAAACTCCCCTTGATAGGCTTGGTCAGTGGAATTGATAGATTATCAATTTTCTAGGCATTTAAGACTGTATATGTCTGAGGAGAAAAGAGCATTGCTTATTCAGGTTTTTGTCATATTTCAGATGTATCCAGTTATCTCTGGAGGCCTTCCAACACAGAATATACACTAGCCATAGTTGAATGAAATCCAAATACCGTTGTTGTTGTTGTTGTTGTTATTATTATGATTGTTATTATTATTACTCCTTTTACTCCCATCTATAACAACAAATCAATATACCCTTTACCTGTAAAAACCCAAGCAACTGTTTCTACCTGAATGCACTAAAAGAACTGCAGACCGGAATAAAAAAAAAAATACTTTGTTCTATTTTGTGTTGACTTCTTAAGACTATGCCAAATAACAAGAAATATCATAAAATTAATTTGAAAAGACAGTAAAAATGGACCTTTAAAGGCATTTATTGTAAGTCTGATCCACAGTCCTGAAAGCAGTTATGATGACCTACTTTCAACAAAAGTTCTGTCATAAAATATGACTGAAGAAAACCACTGAAATACAAATATGCTTTACAAAGCATGTGAAAAAAGTTTCAGAGATACTGATAGGCATTTCTTCTGACTTCCACATGAGCACATAGTTTACAGAAGTCTAGTTGCTATAAATATGATCATAACTTTCTATAGAAGGAGTATTGTTATCTCATGATATCAGCATGCTTTTTCAAGCCTGATATGTAAGGAGATACTTAGCTGATCAATTGAATGACATAATTTCTTCAGAACCTACCTAAGAACCTTTATACTTCGACTAGTTTCTGTGTGGTCCCAGTGCCTTGCCACCTGAGTATCCCCTGCCTTTCAGTTCCAGAAAATTGTACTCGCAGGACCTATACAGCACGTTAGTGTTTTTATCCCAACCCTTGTATCAATGCTTGTACCAACACGTGATTCCTGGTGCAGGCACTTACCATCTGAAAACAGGAACTTGATGAGATAAACCAGGGAATTTATAAATTCATTAAATACATTAACTACAAATTTTATACCTCTGGCATTCATGTATAACACTGGTGTCCAATATTTTCTTTAAGTTGTGCCAATGGCTGCTTAAGCCGTGCAAAACACTTCTTCGTGATGTGACCTCACCCTCACCCACCCAACACGCCATCACTTTGCGTCACTGAAGACTCAGCACCGTACACATTCTTCATCCAGGGGCTGACATGTGGCCGCCGGCTTGCTTCCTAACAATGCACACCGCATGCCCTGTTAGGTGCAGCCACATGTGGCCACCAGACAAGCCCCCCTCTGAGAGGAGCGCTCTCAAATAGGGTGGCAGGAGCTGGCGTGCAGTGACAAATGCACAAGACAACCCATATCCAACTGACACACAAGGGGCCTTTTCGGAAGGTGGTGGCGGGGGGTGCACTGGCTGCTCTGGTCAAGGCCAGGCACAGGCCAGCCCTGAGCAGCCGAGGGAGAAGGGCTGCTGGCCAGAGCTGTGCAGGCTGCCCTGGTTCCTGCTGCACCTCTGACAGCACTGAAATACAGCTCCTTACTCAAGAATTGTTCATAACACACCATTCAGTCAATGGGTCAAAAGACCTTGAGGGCTTTTGAAAGAATTAGATTTCACGTTTGTGCCTGACTTGAGCATCTAATCAGTTGTTGGGCAACTGATTGGATATAACAGAGAGAAAAACTTCAGATCAAAAGTCCCAAATAACTAAGACAGCCTGGCATTTAAATCAAATCTAGGCAAGACACACAATACAGATTCTCTCTAGTGCTGAGACATACTTGAACAGCAAACGAAGAGCTGATATGCTTCATTTAATACCTCTTACAGAACTAGTAATGTAGTGCATTGCATTCAACTTGATATCCAAATACATCAATACTTACATACCTGTCTACTATCATGAGTAAAATTTAGATTTCTAGGTGAGAAAATGACTGGTTTTTTCCTGCCCAACCAGACACTTCCCAGAATTCTATAAAGATGACTTCATCTTTTGCCTCGCATTCATTTGAACTCAAAGAAAATAGAAACGTATATGTAACTGCCATTTCCATAACCCACAAGTGAGTTGGTAAAACATGAAGATTGCTGCAAAGACTTTCCTACTGATGCCTGATATTTAGAGCTTTCACTATGTACATTCTTTCCCTTTTTCATTCTTGTCTGATATCACATTCAGTAAGATGCACACTCAAGCTCCGTGCTCTCTTTCTGTGCTCCTCCTTCTTCTGCACTGTTACCCCTCTTGCTTACCCTTCCTCTTCCCTCTTTTTAACTTCTACTCTTTCCAGGTACTTTAAATCCCCTTCCTACAAAAGTTTACTTACACAATTTACCACAATCATTATTTTCCTCCGTTTACTTGTACATTAAAACCCTTATCACTTTGGTTTCCTGATATAAACTGCAAACTTTCCAGAGAACATAAAATTTCTTATCAATGTTTGAATGGTGGTTAGCATAATGGAGACCTTCAGATGGGACCACACAAAGCTGAACACTATAAACTTATGTTGAACCAGATGACACTACAACAGTTTTGCTTAAATTATGAACATACATTATATCTTACATATATACCTTGAAATATATATATATATGTGCATCACTATATAAATTGCTTAAACACTTTTTTTGCATATATGTCATTTAAATACAAGTTATCTTTTTCCATGTAAAATACTTGTCCTATACAACTTCCTTAATTGACAATGAGAGCTTTTCAGAGTGCATTATATGGATTTTCCCTGAAATAGGAGGAATAGAAAAAAATGCGTAAGATCTTAAATTCTTTACATATCAAAGCAAAAAGCCTCTCCATTTTTCCTAGGTAGAATATTTTAACTGAGATAAACAGAAATGAGCAAAATTTACACTGATGGTCAATATGCTTGTGAGCTGAAAAGAAAATAATTAAAAAGCAGTAAAAGAGTTGCACTAAAGAAATAAAATATGACATATTATTTTTTTCAGGAAAATTGTTTCATTTCAAAATAAGGTCGTATGTTCAAATGTGGAAAAAAAAAGCCCATACTGAAATACGCAAACACTATTTGTGACAAAAGCAAAGGAATTTTTCAACTTTTCAGTGACCCTTCACAAACTTGCAGTAAGGATTCCCCCCAAACAGAAGTACAGCAGCTCATGTTGTCTCCTGAGAAACAAGGAATTAGTGCATTAAGCAGGTTTCATCAAGCAGAAAAATAAAAGCCTCAGTCGAACCTGAAAAAGATCTTTGCTAAGAAAAAAATAGTTTAGTAAATGTCCAGAGAAAAAAGATGTTTGACCATTTTCTTCATTCCATAGAATACTGTTGATTAGGCAACTTCAACAGAATATCCAAATGATTAAACCATAATACACACACATTATGTATATTCAAATGATAATTTGAAGGGGGAAAAAAAAACCTCAGTTCCTACCAGTTTGGCTGAGTTGTGACGTGCTACGGCTTTTCCGCGAGAGACCCACGATGGCGACCATCTTTGCACCGATGCTGGAGCGCCTCTTTTTGCCACCACCGCCAACAGTGCCCACGGCCGTGTCCGACTGGCTGCCATCGTTCTTCTCCAAGGTGTACATGTCCCCACCGATGCTGGTGCTCTTAGTCATGTTATTTCCCGAGGTGCCCATCTGTCTGCTTTGCATTTTGGATGTAAAGACACTGTCAGCCAGTGGATGGATAAACAGCGCAGACAAAGAAGAGTAAAAAGGGGAAGACAGAAAAGGACAGGTTTCAGATGGAAAGTTTTGGGAGACTGGGGGGTAAAAGCAGCTAATTCAAACAGGTGGGGTTTGGTTTTTGAGAGGTGAAGAGGAGCAACTTTAATTCTAGATTTCTGTTTGGTCTCCCGTAAACACACTTGACTCATTAAAATTTTGTTTTAAATAACAAGCTCTTATTTACTGATTGTTTAAAAACACATTACCAGCAAAAGCATATCAAAGAATTAATACATTCCTATATCATATATACACTTTTTGATTGAGGAATTTAAGTTTTGCGGTCAGTTCTCTGCCCCTCTTCTCACATATATAGATACAAATAATCTATATCTCTCCAGGAAACAGATATTTGATTCATTTCTGAGTGGAAAAGGATATTAGTCTGAAGCCTAGCTTTGGTTTTAAACATCCAGACATTTCAAGAATGTTTCCAGTAAATTGGTCTAGCTCAGTTATCCTACAGTAATGAATAGCCACAGGTTTTTTGCTCCCTCTCTTCAGCAAGAAATAGATGTGTTATATATGTATTTCATACAACACTTGGCCACTACGTGACATAGATCATCATTACTGATAAAATGGAATTTAATTCTAATATACATTTTGTATTCATTTGTAGACTGTTTCTACATTCTCTGTGTGGCTGCACCTAAATTATCTGCTGCAGTATTTCACAACATGCCCTGGGGGGACCTGATCTCCCAGTGGTCCAGGCTAAGGGAACCTTCCTTTGCACAGAAATGACAATCTACAGTGACGACAGAAGTACCTATGCAAATTTTGCCCTGACATCTAACTGGTATATCTGGACAAATATCCAGATCTGGAAACTCTGGAGCACATGTGGGCCTGAGAATAAATAAAGAAAGTTTCTATTTCAGTAGAGTTCTTGCACAGAACTTAGACCTTTATTATTCTGTTCACTATAGTGCATCTCATTAAAACGTCCCCATGATATAGTTTTAGACAATCCACAAAAAAGTGGAATAATTCTGGAAACCAGGAGAAATTATTTTTGTGTTAAATCACCAGTATATGAAGGCTAACAAAGAAAATCTTTGCATTTTAAACAGATTTTCAAAAAGATGCAAAGGCTATTCCTAGAGCTTTACTGCTCAGCAAATGGCTCTAGAGTAAATTTTAATGGGTATAGCCACATTCATTTCCCCTTACCTATAATGGCCTGAATCTATTTCAAAATAGGAAGGTTTTATTTCTTCTTTATGAAGTTTTTACAACACATGTTCTGTCAGTAAAAACTTATCTATGGAATTAATGCAGTGCCCTCAAAAACAAAGGGATCACTGGGTCTCTTCCCACTGATTCAAGGGGAAGTGGGATGAGGCATGAGATTTGGAACAACAGTGCAACTATTTAAGATACCTGTGAGGAACCCATAAAGAGGTCTGCTCTTTAGTTGTCAGCTGTATGTGCATGAAAGCACAAAATGCCTGGAGTTGAGCTACAAATCAGAGGAAATCATAAGAGCTAGTTTACAGAAGAAGTAGACCTTTACTATCAAGTCAAAAAAATATTGAGTGTGATTCTCAAGGAAGTTATAAGGGAAAATATAAATGAAATCTTGGATCAACAGATGGAGATGCACAAAACAAAGCTCAGAGAGAGCCGTATTGGTCTTGCCTGGACAGACAGTAACAAAAGACTGGAACAGAGTGGTAACCTGAAAGCTTTTTTCTTATCCTTTTTTAACTCTTTGTTGTTATATGTTAGTACACACTGTTTTACATTGGTACATTTATCACTAAGGAAGGAGCGGGATAGGATGTGGGTAAAGAGGAAGGCAGGGAAGTTTAAAAAAAAGGGGATCTGTATTTGTGGGTCTTTTTAGCACCACAATAACTTCCTTGTCAGATGATAATACCACATGTTGTATTTTATTTCAAACTAATATTTTTGCTTCACAGAAACAAGATGCCACAGAAACTAGTTCACAGTTTCAACACTACTTTGCATATAAGAAATACTACAGACCTAGAAAGAGATAGTATATCCAACTTTATCTTATGCAACATTCTTCTAAGAATCAGAAAATTAGAGCCCTTTATCCAGTAATGCTATTTTTAACCCAGGTTCTCTAAGGAAATATGATTAATGTGGCTGTGTTTTCTGTCAGGTGTCTCTTTTCAATATTTGAAAAAATTGGTTCAAATCTGACACAGGAGTAGAAAACTAGAGCTATTTAGTTTCTAAAATTGCTTTGAAAACAGATCCCTGGAGAGAGATCTTATGAATGCCCCTTTGGGGAAAGATTGTAGTACAAGTCATTACTTAATCTCTCTTATTTCAGGTAGGAGCTGATTCGCATACACAGACTAATAGGGGATGTAACATTTTTACTGCTTGCAGAACAACCTATTCCAATGATCCATTTTTCAATAATGACATCCAGAAAATCAGTGGGTTCCTGTCATATAGAAAATAGTAATTATGACATTGCTTTGTAAGTGATAATAATATTTAAGAATGGTCTTATGTCATAGCAGTGAAAACAGAAATATTGTTTTCTCATAAAAGTTACAATGAGGAGAAATTTCCCATTTCCTGAGCCTAATGTGCCTTTTAGGTGCTTCAAGTGTCATTTCCCAAGATGTATAATTCTATTTAAGTGCAATGGATTACAATAATTACCCTTGCTAAAGAAATCACTGTGCTTAAAAATACTGGCATGCAAACAAAGTTGCTATAATTTCACTATGCAGTTAACTATGAAAGTACTATGCATTACAAAAATTTGCTCCTTGGCTGATGTCTAAAAGCTTCTGTATCATAAAATGAAATTTTGCTGTGTACACCTGCCAACAATGAGGTAGACTTCATTCAGCCACATTCTTTTGACCAACTGAGAAAAGTAGGAAAGTGAATTCAAATAAGGAAAAAGAGATTTAGATTTGTGTGGATATATCAAATACTAGTACAAATAGCTAATATTAAAAGTTCATTCACGAATCTATTTTTTTCCAGTAGAGTTCTAAAAATATTTGCTTTAATTAAGGGTTTAGGGTTTTTTCCCCCTTCTCTAAAAGCATCGGGGAAGATATCTTTGTTATGCTCCCAACTAGCAAACAGCTGCTGGAGAAAGCCATTACATAGCAGTGGCTTTGTTTTTTCTCAATTCTTCTCTCAAGGAAAAAATTCATACTAATTTGTGAAATTAGCACTAGAAGAGTCCTAAGTGGCTTATAGTGCCTTACAGTAAATCTGCAGTGGTCATGTGCACCTCCTTCATCAGCATTCTGAATGCTTTCTGGCCATCCAACCCTCACTCACTAATTATTCTTGGTAGATGCTTGGTATCCTCACAAGTGAAGCCATCCTTCTACCCAGACTGTCTTTTGACAGTGACAGAAATGGATTATTCTCAGAAAAAATAAGGTGTTGTACATCAGGTTCAGCTCCTTTCTGAGGTAACAGAAAGATGGACTTCAGAGTAAAAGAGAGTAAAGCCTACAACCTTTTCTATTAACATGAAACAGAAATTACTGGAAGTTTCCTTTACGTGCACATATACACAAAGATAATCACACACACACACATCCAGTTCAATATGGACAACAATATTTTAAAACTGATATTAATTGATGAGATTATATGAGTCAATGAATAGATATGAACTAAAACCACGGTTCTCAAGGTGCTTTATGAGAAACTCATCTTAAAAATATCCTCTGCAAAGAGAATATGGAGCCAGATGGGGAAAAAAAATTAAATAAAAGAATTAACTATGCTAGTCCCAACCACATGTGCACAATGGCATAATAACCACCCTTATTAGAATCAAAATAAGAACCCCAGGCCACTGACTTTAGCTTATGGGGACAAACCAGTCAACAAGGTTAGGGTAATGGGCAAAACTTACATGGGAACGTTGCTTCCTGCATTACCCCTAAACCCTGGAAACCAGTTGAGGGCACCAAGAACTGAAAACAGGTCTCTCTGTCTAATTAGCTGGTCAGATGCTTCAATTTTCCAGTGAACAGAGAAAAAGGAAATATTTCTCTACTTAGTCTTCTACTTCAATCACTTTTTCTAGTTTTTCTCAGTTGTGAGAAGTAATTTTGCACACTGTACCTAAAATACAGCATTCTTCTGTAATGTCTTCACAAACAAGCAGGGGTACTCAAATGCAAGTTAAATGACTAATAACATCTAAGTGTAAAATAAACCCTGAAATCTGATCAATTAAAATGGTCTACTTAAAGCAAACTCAAGACAAGCACTAAGTATTTTTGTATATTCCCAAGTGATAATTATTCCAGATAGTCAGGGTCAAATTGGGCATGTCAGCATCCTATGTCTTTTACAGTACATTTTTTTATCTGTAATTGTTTGTGGCCACCTACACTATGGATAAATTTTAGAGGAATACATTCTCAAAGTTAAAGCAGAAAGTTCACATCAAACAAACAAAAGAAAAATAAGACATTAGAAAATAAATTAGACTAAGACATCTATAAATATTTGTAATTTAAAGCCAATGGTGGAGTACAACAACCCTAAGCACCAGATACTATTCTTAAAAATATATCACACTAGCAAACTGAGGGGAGTCAGACTGACATATACATATTACAGGAAATCTAATATGGTCCTTATAGTCACTGAAGACCCTTGTGCCACACCTATGTGCTAATAAAATGGATCAGGCCTGTTCTCTGACCTTAACAGCCTGCATACGCACAGATAGCTTACACCTTTCCCAAAACAGTGTTTTCTCAGGCATGCTGCCTACAGGAAGCAGACCCGGACTCATGCTATCTCCTGAATTGTGCCTGGGTTGAATCAGGGGCACCTTATAGGAGTGTCCAGCACAAAGCTAAACCAAGGAGGACACGAACTGTTTAAACAATCCAGACTATGTCCCGTCTCTGTCTAGTTTACTGTTATAGACATAGCCTTAAATTTCCTGATGATAGTACA